TGTGTGTCCTTTAGCAAGCCGAGGCTGCTGCTTTTGGAAGGAAAACTGGGTGGTTTTCTCTTTTTGAGGAAACAAGTATGTGACTTATGTACAAAAAGAACATTCAGAGAACAGAAACAAATCCCTTCCAAGAAGCGCTATTAATATGCTTTCATCAAGTACTGTCTTTTTGTTGCTGTTAGGGAAGGTAAGTGGTATAGTTGCTATACCCAATGACCATGGCACATGCAGACATTAAATCAAGTGCTGCTACTCACAGATCTTTTTTCGACCAACCTTATTCTTATTAGATATGATTTATATATGCACAATTTCCAGCAAGAGACTTGCTGGAATTAACTACATTAATCCCTCAGAACTTCGGGTCTCCACTGTGTCATTTGAAGAAGGCTCAGGTGAAGGATGTGCCTGATTCCTGCCTTTCCATCCCTTTCTTCAAAGGTTTAGACATAGAATTGGCCTGAATTTGTACATTTATTTTATTTAAAGGTGGGTTGGCTATTAACGATATTGATAATTTAGGCAATATTATTAATACAAATAGAGGTGGATGCTAAGCCTATATTCTTTGCTCATGCTGAAGTCAATAGCAGTTAAGTTCAGTGTATTTTTAGGGTAATGAAGAGCCTAATAAGCTTCAATACTGAAGGAGTGTGAAATGTGGGTGTTTAAACAATATGTCCAAGTCTCCTTGTGCTCAGGAAGAGACGCAAATACATAATCATTCATAATTAACACCATCTCTGTAGCACCACCCATGAAAGGATCGCATGTTCCTTCATAAATATTAAATCAACCCAACACCCAGCTGTGTAACAATTATTACTCCCATTGACAGATGGAGAAACTAGGGCACAGTCTCATTGCCCACACAGAGCATCTGCTGCAGAGCTGGGAAGAGACTGACCTATCCAAGTTGAACAATTCAGTGCTGGATCTGGATGTCTCATGACAAGTATCTGCCCCCAAAAGCTGCACCCAAATTGTCACATCAGAGTGGAAATGCTTCTTTGAAAGGTTAATGTCAAACAGTGTCATTATTAGAGGGGGAAATGAAGCAGCAGCATCTCCAAGGAAACAGGAACACGTGAGAAGGAGGGAGCAAGGCAGCAAAACCAGGAGTTAGAACTGCAGCTAGAGATGTCAGCCGTATCTATTGCCCCATGTTTTATATTCCTGGTATGACTGTCTACTAAGTTAGGCAGCTTCCTGCTGTGAATGTCAGAGCAATTTACTTATGAACAGTTTAGCTTTCTGTCACTCAAGCATAAAGGATCACATCTCTACCTCAGAGCCCTGACAGATGCCCCAGGAGTCACTCCTGGACAGCAGCAGCCACCAAATAACCCCAGCATACATCCTCCCACCTTCCTCGTGTGTTTACCCTCACTATGGCTCTGGCTGTCATTTCACCCCCCACTGAAATGCAGCTATTCTGGGTACAGGCTGCAGCAGTCCCTTCGGGACATCAGCAGTATTCATGTGTTTTCTTTCAATACTCAGACTCTGAAATTCAGCACAGGGAGTCAAACATTTAGGAGCATTTGGGCTAGAGCAGGAGCAGGAGACACAGGTCAATGCTTTGCCTTATAAAAAGGACAAAGATAGCTTGGGAGACAGGGCTTGCAGGTTTTAATCCATCTAAAAGATGGCGTGCTGGGCTGTAAGGCTCCCCTAAGTACGAAGAGTATTGGTTTATGGCTGGGAGAACAGTATCTCCAGTTAAACACCCAATATCAGTTCTTTTGGCATTCACACCAAAGCACCAGCATTACGCAAGCTGAATAGCTGATAACACAAGGCGATGTGGTTCTAGGCAATAAAAACTATTCTTAAGCTCTTCCTAGAGCCAAGGGGTTTGACTTGGATGTGGTGCTGTGCTTCTATACTTAGCACTATCAGAGGATGAGGATTTGCACCACAAGAACAATGTGCTAAAAAAAAAAAAGAGAAGATTTATCCCTTTTTCAATTTAAAAAGAATAAAATTACTGCAGGGGAAGGAATTCTCCCTTGTGGATATGGGTTAAGTCTGTCTGGACTAATCCTCTACTCATATGCAGTGGCTTATTAGGGATTTAAAAAACCCTGAAGGCTTAGATGTATATTTACAGTGGAACAGGCTCACATGAAAGATGTATTTTCAGTGAATTTAATGACACATTTGACTTGAATTCATGTTGGAGAAATCTAGAAATCTGGTTGGTTTGGGGTGTTTTTTGCTGTTGTTTCTGTGAAACCCTTTAATAAAGGCTTTACAAGAAGCAGCAATACATAACTTTAAAAGGGCTCTAAAGCCAATTGAAAGCAAGCCAGAGCAGACTGAATTCCTGCTTCCTGCAGAACAGCAATAAATCCTTCTGCCACCACTCAGTTCCCTTCAAGCCACGGTTACAGATGATCAGACTGCCGTGATGACCAGAGCTCACCCAAAGCAAGCGTCCTGAGGCTCTGTGCCCATTGTTTCCCTGGATGTACCAGGGTTTGTTCACCAGTTTCGCTGCTCCACCAGCTCCAGCCATTTTTTGTTGGAGTTTAATTTTGCTTTCTTTGAACTTACTGGAGTTCGTACATAAAATGCAGTTCAAGTGCAGTCCCTGCATGCTGGTTTAGTAGCGGATCCCTTAGGAACCACATTAATGTCTAAGAAGAAAGCAATCTCAGTACAGAGGACAGCAGAGCAGGAAAAATTAACATAGAGCAGAGACACAAGGGGCAAAGTGGGAACTGAGCTGCCCAAGGATGTCCCATAAGCCAAGGGCAGAATTGGGAACAGAGCATATTTCCTAAATCCTCATTCATCCAACACTCTCCAAATCGTATTGCTTCTGAATACATGTTAACACAATTCTTACCAACGTCTTATTTGAACAGTATTCCTATGCTAGATACCCAAGACTTAAAATACCATCTAAGCCTCTCAGCAGAACACTTCTACATAGGCACAGACCCTGATCAACTGAACAACAATGTAAGAGCCAGGCAGAGTATGCGAAGAGCTCCAGAAGTACTGTTTTACTGCAGCTGTAGATCTCAACAGCATTTCCCTCCTAGCGCTTGCCCCATGTTGCCAGCCATGGACCAGAGCTTGCACGATGCTGCAGATACCCCAAAGGGATACCTCAGTCTCTGCACAACTCCCCTGCATGGCTTGGTTTGTTATAGCTATTGGCAGAGCCTTGCCTTAGGATGCTTTTTAGGCTGTCTGAATTCCAGCAGGGGACACGCATTTTACATGGCACAATTTAGGGAAAATAGCTGCACTGCTACAAGAATATTTGTGCCCAGTTTCTCACAATGACGCAAAGGACATGGCAGAGGACTGCAAATGCTGGAGGGAATGCAGCTTCACAGGTGATTTCCTCCAAGCCTGGCCTGATAAGAGGCCATTTGCATTCATTAATCCTGCCACAGTCATTAAGTAAACCCTGGTAGCAGAGACCACTACTGCAAAGCAGTAATTTCACTCACAGCAACTTGATTACTTGCAATTCTCTGTACACACCCAAGGGCTCTCCAACTGCTTTCACATAGCAATATTATTCTAGTAGAGACAAAACTAAGAAAGCTATTTTATTCCCATTGGAAAGACAAAGTCCTGATGCACTTTAGTCTCTAGTTTTCTGGAAGGGGATTTTACCCACAGTAGAGACACTACCAGGAGGAAAGTGTCATGTACTGTTTCTACCTCCATGTTTCAGGGCAGAGTCCACCAACTCTATCACAACTGATAAATTTCCACAGATGTGAACACTGTGCTCCTAGAAGCTGCCCCCCCTGCTCACTCCAGCTGCCTGCTTAAAGCTTAAGCAAAAAAGCTTGCCCACACCGCAAATCAATGACTTTGCCATTGAGTTGTTGGAGCCAGGAGTCTGTGGTTGGTGCACACAAAAGGTTTGCAGATCTGGAGAACTGCAGCTATGTGAAAGTACTTGCATAGCCTTGCAAGCCTCTATCTCTGCACTATTACTTACAAGAACAACAGGGCTGTAAGGATCCTTGGGCAGCTCGGTTTTGTCTTTTTGTCTTCTCAGTGTTAATTTTTCCTGCTCTGCAATGAGACTGCTTTCTTCTTAGACATTAGTGTGGTTCCTAAGGGGGTTACTACAATACTGGCATGCAGGGGCTGCACTTGAATTGCATCTTATGAACTCCAGTAGGTTCAAAGGAAACAAAATGTGTCCTGGTATCATTACATTGTTTGCATGACCTTCATCAAAGAGCCGCACAGTTCTTCTCTGGCATTGCGGCATTTTCTGTGACATCTCACCATCAATGAGGAGAGCTGTGCCACACACTTTGTGATATTTCTGAGCTGGTTTTCATCCCCCAAGGTCTTCTTAGCAAAGATTATTTCTGTTCCCTAACACCAAGAATTGCTTATCATCGAGAAGGCTCCTAGCATGTTAGATGATATATGAACACACAAAAGGCTTTCAAGAGCTTACAAGCTAAAGATAAGGCTGATAGGAAAGCCCAAGAAAAGATAACACTGCCCTGCGTGGGTGACAGTGGCAATAACATGCCAGCAGCTTAGTCACTGCCAAGTTTTGGCAAAGCAGCTACAACTTGTGGTTACTAATTCAACTTTTTCACTGCTAAATAACCAAAACAAGACATTCGACGTAATTATTGCAGTCTGTGTGGCAAAGGATCATGCCTCAACTTCTGATTTATTACCAGCTTCATCACACCAAGGGTTTTAACCAAGCTTCCCAGAAGCCTTCCTTCTAATTCAGGCTTCCTTCCAAAACCAGGGGTATATGTAACTCACAGGGGTGCAGAGGACAAATTGAACACAAAACTAGGCTCACCCTCAAGAATTTAGAAACCAAAATGAAAGCCACTGGCTGCTTCTTAAAATACAGATGCATTAAAAGGTACTTGAGATTTCTCTGCTTGTGCCAGGATGCTCTGCTGGCTGATGCATAAATCACCACTTCGGGATGTAGCACAGGCAGACGGTTACCACCTAGCTGAGGTACAAACCATGCAACCCAGCTGAACAAGAGCTTCATTCAGTTGTGATTTGAATCCACTGCAGTTTATTTCTGGAAGTATTTAAAATGCCTGTGCTGAAGGCAGTAGGACCACTGCATCCAGTGAATCATCCATGACACCTGATGTAGGCAGGTAACAAATCTCAGCATGTTTACTAAAGCTTTCTATAGGAATCTGAGGGTAATTCACATTAAGATGATGTAAAATAGCATAGGGGACAAATATGTTGAACTGTGTGGGTCCAGCACTATTTTTCCCTTAATAACCAGTTAAAATTCAGCAGTTAAAGAGTACCACATGCAGTAACTCTGTGTTAACCAGAGGCACACAGGAAGCTGGCATTATACATCTCTGGATTTCAGAAAAGAAATTTCAGATTTTTGCTTGATCACAGCATGTTTGGGTAGAAAAAGACAACTTAAGCCACAAATTCCCTGTAGCCAGATTAGTTTTAAAATCTGGTTTGGTCACCAGTGACAAAGTGCCTCTGCCAGCATGGAACACAGCAGGAACCAACCCAGGCAGCATCTCCCCAGCTTCCCAGGTGAGTTTTGCAGCTCAGCCTGATGGGGACAGAGCAGGACCTGAGCTGGCTGTGCTTGGGAACAGCTAGATAACACTGCAGCCACTTCTGTGGCTACGGGATCAACATTTCTCTTGTTTCTGTCCATTTGTGCTTCACCTGGAGGACAAAGAAAGCATTTTCCTTCCTTTCAAGAGATGTGAACTTTAGTCCATCAAACACCTACAGGCAGAAAACCAGCAAGGCATGGAAGAAACTTATTAGGCAAAAAGACATCTAGCTTATAGCTCCCAAATGGTGGGGAGAATAACAGGAGGTGACACAGATAAAGAGTAGATTTACTGGACATACAATAAGAGCCTTCATGTGGCCCAGCTGGAGCACAATACAGCTGAAAGAAGGCTTGGGGACAAGAGGCAGGGTCAGACACGTGGAGATGCACATTGAAAGCGAGGACGTAGGTCAGACTTGCAAAGGGTCAGAGATTCCTGTTTCATGGGGCAGACAGCAGCAATGACTCACACATATTGCATTACTGGTACATTTACCCTGGTTCACACTTTCCCTTGGGCAGGAAGCATCGTACCCAGCTTTTCCAGGAAGCATATTGTATCCTGTCAGGGGATTTGTGCAGGGCAAGGGGTACTCTGCCCGGTAAGAGCAGAGCTCATGTTCTCCCTATGGAAAATAAGTGCCAAGACAGGCTTGGCACTGCCCTCTGGGGACAATATGGAAAGTATTAAGTTCTGATGGGAGCAGCAGCTGGCTTCTATCAGAGAGGCACTATCTCTATCCTTTTGAAATCCTTTGTGCTTCTTTTCTCACTGGAGAGATAAACAGCCTACCAAGGTCATTTGCTCTCTGCTGCCTGGAGAAGACGTTCTGAGGCTACAGGGCAGTGCTGTAGGTGGGATGCTTTGAACAACACCATGTTCCTGCAAAACCAACAGTACCAAGCACGACTCCAGATTAAACCAAGGCCCTTTTTCAGTGCCTGAGTCGATAAAGCATCACTGCTTCTGACTGCTAGAGGGCTGCAAGACAGCAGCAGCACTAATGGAAATTAGTCTTTTCATGGATGGCAGGCAGGACTGCAAGCCTATATCAATGCAGAAAACAGCTAAACGTAAAATGACCCCCCTGACAATGGCACCGTATCATACAAATCAGCGTCTCATCTTACCTTGTGAACACGTTATCCTTCTGCACATGGAGAGTAAACATAGCAGAGGAGGCAAGCTGATCTGCAGAAACCCGAGCTCCGAGGCAGGGTCCCCTTACACAACAGTAGTCCTTTTCCCTGGCAGGTCAGAGGAATTCTCGTAGGCAGAGATGAGCCCCTTTGCCCAGCGGGTGTTGGGGGAGCCCTGCTGCATCACCACCAACCGGATCGGAGGCTGGGTGTCTGCAGGGACCTCGGGAGCATATTCCTTGCTGGGATCCTTCCCCCTGCAGTCATAGAGCACACAGGAGATCAGGAAAACCAGAAGCAAAATAACGTAACTAGCTACCAGAATGATGAGATTCAAGGTAACAGGGTCAATCTCCAAATAAAACTCCATTTGGTCCCATACTATTGAGTGCAAACCCAGAGAACGAAGTTTCATATGCTCGAGTGAGCAACCACTAACTGATCAGAATAGATGTATTGGCTTTGTGGTAAAAATACATTAATCCTCAGGTCTCCTGTAGCAATGGATTTCCCTGAACTGGATGATTAAAGCAGCTCAGTTTAATAACTTAAGCTCCTTCTTCTAATGCCACGTTGCCTACAGTGGCAGAAGCTAAATTTGAATGCTATATTGACAGGAAAACATCCTCCTTGCTCAGGGAATATCTCTTTCCTTGCTGGGCTGGTATCAAACCAGTTTCCATCTAACGGCATCTTGCAGAATCTCCCTTCCTCAAGTAGGTTTGGGTCTGTGGGCTGAAGAGAACGGAGCTATGTAATTAATAAATGAATACAGAAACAAATCAGGGAGAAAGTAATTTGCAAGGTAATTTCTCACTGGTTCCGATTTCAACTAAGACCTTATTGTCCTGCGCTAGTGCTATAGAAGCACTTTTAAAGTGAACTAAAGACTTCTGTTACCCAGTTCCATATCAGGATTACAGGGACATGTCACACCATATCGTATCACATGTTGGCCAGCCAGTCCTTGCATGAACTCAGCTCTAGGATCCTGCTTCCCACAAGATGCTCTTTCAGTCTCCCACATGCGAGAAGGTGCAACATGACTGCAGCATTCCTGTAGCCTGGGCACCACTAATGTCTTTTTCCTATGTGGACCCTCTGCTTGCTAAAACAAAAGGTGAAACCTGTGATGTGACTGTTCCCTGCCTGGCAGCACTGCCCCACTGCCCAGCCGCAAAACCTGCAAGTACTTCCTGCATCTTCCAGATTTACAGCTCTGAAGCTGATAAATGAGTAAGAACACACACAGCAGCCACTCATTGCCTACACAGCACTTGTTTCAAGACTGTGCTAGAGAGACCACCCTTCCTTCTCCTCCTCCATAAAACACAGATGTATAAGATACCAGGAAGGCAGACACAAAGGGCAGGAGGTGATGCTGATGAGTGCCACAGACCTTATGTCAGTATGCTCACCCCTTCCACACAAAACTCCAAGGTTTTGGTCAGCATTACAGCACAGGAGGGGTTTAGGAAAAGATTAGGCTGTCCCAGCTCTGAGCACTGCTGGAGCTGTGGAGAAGGGCTTTACATGTCAGCAGGAATCTAATCTGGTGCATCTAAGCTGTAAGAAATATGTCATGGGGCCATCCTGCTGCCGTGGACCTCAACACTTACCGCTTGTTTTAAGACCAACATCAGCTGCATTCCCCATCATCTGCCTTCGTGGCTTTTTAGCTGAGAAATAGCTTGTATTGAGAAGTAATCCCAAGCCTGGCACTGCAGGAGGCCTGCTTAGCAGGGAGCACAAAACACAAGGGACACATGTGTGTGACCCTCATGTTGTGGCCTGTTACATTACCATGTACTACATCTGAGGCAGACCAGGCAGGTGGCTGTTGGATGTAGCTTAGATGAGGCTGAGGTGTTTCAAGACAGGCTGAGGGTTTGGATTACACAATTCCCCTCCTCAGCAATGACACTCAGAGCTGGGATTTGATTTCATGCTTCCTGGGAAACCAAAAGTCTTGTGAAAATCCCTCCAAAACACCCCAGAAGCACAGGTGCCTTTGAAAGGCAATAGAGTTAATGGTGCTAGGTTTCAATCAAGTTGCACTACAAAAACTTAATACCAAAGTATTAAATACTGTATAGTTCTTATGTTGAGAGAGATATGGGATTTTACATTCCTTTAAGTCTTTTAAACTGCCTCAAACAGCAGCACTGTTCTCACAAAAGAAAGTTCCTGTGATTTTTCCCCTTTGCATTTATTTAGTACCAGCAAGTTTGCCAAACCTGAATTGTCTCCTTTAAAGTCCTCCAGGCTGGTTTCAGGTGTCTGTCCAATATTGCAGCTGGAAGATACATGCCATTAAGTGTTTAATTCAGATAGGCATTGAGCCAGCTCCTAGGGGACTTTTCAAGCTGTCAAATCTGGTACTAGATTATTGCACCACCTTCCGTGCTGCTGCAGACACAGTCTCTTGGAGAGAGAAAAGTCTCCATGTTCCTACATCTCTGCAGCTTCTCAGGGAAGAGAAATAGAGTGAAAATACATGATACTTTCAAAACACCCCTAGAAGGCTGTACACAGGGCCTGTTTGCAGCAAGACCTCACATTAATGCTGTTATATTCCCAGGTCCCTGTCCTTGAGCCAGACCTGCTCACAGCAGCCCATGTCTGAGGTCAGCACACTGAAAACTGAAGTCTATGAGGGGACTTGGCTTTGATATCATTATTTCTTCCCTCCTCCCAGCTCATTTCACTGTTTAATATTCCTGTGCCAAAGGATTGCCAGGGTCTAATTCCACCTGCCAGCACCCCTGCCCAGAAGAAGGAGCATCACTCCACCTTGGGAACCTCATCTGCACACACGCTGGGGCTTTTTATAGCAGAGGCTCACTCCAGCACTGGCACTACTCCCAGGGCTGGTATCCCAGAGTCCTCCCCTGCCCAACACCACTCCCTCCTGCCCATCCTATAGCCACAGCTCTGTAGCTGAAATCAGACTGTGAGAAACTCCGGCATCTTCTCATCTAACACAAGAGTTCAACAGTGGGTGTCTGCTGTGCCAGCTCTCTTTGATTACAGCTGATCCCACCAGTGTTCTGGCTGGTGAATCCCAGCTGCAGCAGCTCAGAAGGGGGACCCATCACACAATGCATCAAGATGGATGTACACAGCCAAGCATCCAAAAGGGACCAGGCTCTGCTGGACTGAGCCATAGGGAAACAAAAAGCAGTTTCCAGTCCTGGTGCTTCCCAGATGAAGCCTGAGTGCCTGATGTGCTACAGAACATACTGCTCAACATGCCTGACCCAGCACCTCCGAGCTGCAACCCAGTGAGGGAGCCATCACTGCCAGGCTCGTATGGCTTAACTGCAGTGCCATGACTAAAAATAGCCCCTAGGAAATAAATCTCCTCAGTACTGAAGTGTGAAAGAGGGGAATATGGATGAGAACAATCCCAACATATTTCAAACAGAGTAACAAATGGTCTGAGACCATTTGTACCCTTCTGAGGTATCAGAAAGTACAGGCCTACCTCCTGTATAACACCTTGTCCTGCCTTGTCTTTTCCATGTGCCTCCTTGCAAAAAGGGAGTCTCCTCCTTCTTTGTAGCCACTGTTTAAATACCGGAACACTGCGATAAGGTCTTCCCTAAGCCTTCTTTTCTCAAGGCTGAATAAACCCATCTCAGCCTTTCCTCATGTGGCTTCTCAGTCCTTGGATCATCTTTGTGGTCATTCTGTGGGCCCTCTCCATCGCGTCCACATCTTTTTTTGTATAGCAGGGACCAAAACTGACCCACGCTATCCCGATTTTGTGATTCAGGTTTTTCCTAGAGATCCCTTTCAGCTCAGGTTTGTAGGACCAGGTCCACACGGTTACAAACGCCTCACTCGGGCTGGCCACACGTAGGTGCTGTTGCTTTCCCTATGAAAGCATCGGAGCGGCTTTCACCGGGAGCGGCTGAGCGCGGCGCTGGGAGATCACGGGCACTGCCCGCTCCCCTCCGTACCAAGCAAACTCCTCTGTGCGAGATTCAGCACCACTTACTAGGAAGAAGAGCTCTGCTTTCATAAGCCCTTTTGGTCAATGGTGCCAAGCCTCCGTCAGCATCTGACAAAAGAGCTTCCACCGTTATTGTGCAGGGTTTATACTGTCCTCATTCTCAGGAGGCATTTGAGGGCAGTAGTTAAACTATTTCCTGCTTTAGGGGTGCATTTGTTATCTATTTGACCTCGACAGCATTAGAAAACAGCTACTAAAATGCTGCCTTTGAGAAAGGAATAGAAATTCAAGTAGGAAGATGAAAAGGAAAAATACAAAATAGCCATTATGATACAGAATTAGTCTACTTTGTCATTTGCATTGCAGCTCCCTCCAGGGACCCAAAACCTGCAATACACAAGTCAGTAAAGTGTCTGACTTTGAGACTCTGAATAGTCCTACAGAGGTGAAAAAGAAGCTGAATCACACTGAAGAAAGCCAGAAGCTCAAAACAAAGGCTGAGGTCTTACCACATTAAACATCACTCACAAACATTACCTGAATGTCTTTAGCTCCTCACCCCAAAATCTTAGACACCACTGCTACCACACTCCTAAAAAAACAAATCTCATTACAGCCCCTCATACCCAGCAGACAAATGCACAGACTTAAATCCAATTTTGCTTATCTGCAAATCAACTTACTAGAAAAGCCTCAGCTGGAGAGGATCTGGTGCTCGGTAAAAGAAAGGCTGTTGCCATAAGGTGGCAGCTGTTGATCAGCTATTTTTCTGATTGCTTTTTCTTCATCTCAGGGCTCCAGGTGAGATGCATGCGTCAAACCCATGGCCCAGCTGAGATACATTAAACAGACACGGGGTACTGATGCTTACTCCTACCCCAGCTCCCTGCAAGAGCTCTGCTGGTCTCAGAACTGGTTCTATTTGGTGTCGCAAGAAGCAAAACCCAAAGTGATCTGATTTTGTGCTGTGATGGTTTCACTTTGGATAGGGATTATGCAGGCAAAAAGATAATTTTCCTAAGAGAGTGTGTACAAGTCCAGGGTGATGCATGACACTGCAGTTAGGTGACCTTAGCCAGGAGCTTCACAAGGTGTGACAATCCAACTGCAATCCTTTTCATGATCCCGGTAGGATGTAATTCAAATGATGCTGAATGTTCATTAAAAATAGCTTAAAATTTAATCGACTTTTTCTGTTAACCAAGAAGACAGATTGGATATGAGAGGTAAAATCCACCACTTGGTTTTAGAACAGTGACCCAAACCTTCATGTGAGACAAATTTCTCTGTATAACTTCACAAACATAACTGGGCTGATATCAGTGGAGCATGGGTGCATTTTAGTCAGTGCTGCTTGTAGGGAGATAAGTCTATAGAGGGTTAGTACCTGAAGAAAGGCAACATTATTTTTCATCTCTAGGTAACTTTCCAGTGAGAGCTCAGATAAGTCAAACTGTAGCAGATCTGGTTTGATGTGCTGTGAAATATTTGGTCAGTCCACTTGTCCTCAGCTGTTTAAGAAGCATATGTAAATGTGAATGCCTTTGTCATTATTAATGGCAAACTGACTTAAAACAGGAGGAAGAAAACGAAGATGTTTGATATAGAATGCAAGTCTCCTGAAACGGGTCACACGTGGGTAAAGCAGATTCCAACTGGGTCTCAATTTTGCTGGAGCTGAGCTGCTTGCTTGGTTTGTCTTCTGTCCCATAATACATCTTCTGCAAGAGCTAAGGCACATAATGCAGATACAAAATCAAAGTGTATAGACATGGTTGCATCAAATTCAATGAATCTTCTTCTGCTTACCCCACTGGAGTTCACTGAGTTCAAACTCAAAATTACAGCACATAAGCTATCTCCTCCTTCCCACTGTTCTGACTCGGTGCTGCATAAACAGCTTTAGCCAGGACTTTAAAGATACACTTCCTTGATTTCCCTGGCACTGTACTGTATGCTCATATGCTTTGCCAGACTGGGATGGATTTAGGCACACACAGCACTTAGCTCAGGCGTGTGTGTTCAGTTGAATTCGGGCTATTAACTACAGTGTGGCTGCCAGGAATACAAGTATTATTGTAGGTAGTAAAGCACTTAATATGAGAAATCGCTAATGAGAGCTATAGCTTCTTGGTTTAGAGCACTACAGCTTCTTGGTTTATTGTTTATGAAGATTAAGGGCTATATTCTTTCCTTCCTCATTCCCAGTAAATCAGGATTTTGCCTATCTGGCTCACTGGGACTGGAGCTGCTGGAGTGTGTTAGTAAGAGGCACTTGATGCACCGACAGCCAGGCTGTACAGGGGATGGTAACCTCTTCACCAGCACAGCTGCAGCCTGCAAGAGGAAAATAGGTGCTGGCACCCTAAGGTGACCTCTCTGAAAAGCCTGGTGCTAAAGACATGCAAGAGAAACTCCAGGGCCCAAGCTGGGAGAGGGAAGGTCAGGAATGGAAGGTTCCAACTCCTGGCAGTGCTACTCACACATTTTTGCCATTGCAGACGGGCTGCAGAGCAGTTCCCTGGTCCTGACTGGCACAAGCCCTGTACATCTATCCTTAGGGTGACATATGTGACATATCAATCTTCAAGGTCCCTTCCAACACAAACCATTCCATGATTCTATGACTGATGATCTATGTGCTTTTGCCTCTCTGTTTACCTTGAATAAACCTATGTGAGGCAGGATGTAAGGAATACATCAGTATTCCTGGGGCATGTTTGAGTGCTGGGGTGATCATCTTACGGATTGCGGGCCATAAATCAGTTTTGCTTCTGAATTCAATCTGCTTCTCCTTGATTTGCTTTCAAGACTCTGCTACCTTGGGACAACTGGCAACACACAGCTACTTTTCAAGGAACCAGAGGACTTCTAGGAGCTGGGAATACATAGAGGCTCCTTGCTCAAGAGTGCAGGAGACACCATGGTTGTGAACAGGCACTGCTGACATGTCTGCAGACCCAGTGGTCTCTAGATCTGATCACGGCTTTGTTGAATGGGATGTTGGGTGAAGGAGGCAGAGAGGAGTTGGATGATGAGAAGAGGAAGATTCACTAAAAATAACTTGGCAAAATCAGCCTGAGAAGGTCTTGCAGAGCTCTCTGCTTTATTCAGCTGGGGTGCATCTGGAGAGGAAAAACCCTGAGGTTTCCTGAAGCAGCTTTTCTTGTTTGTTTTGATTTTCAGGCTCCTTGCTAGGATCCCTGCAAATCTGTGTCGCATCATGTACGAAGGCAGCAAATAAAGTGAACTCTGAATTTTGCCTTTTTAGGGTTATTCAGGGAATACAGACCTCCCTCAAAAGAGGATACTTGAATACCAGTCAGACACCTGGTGAACAAACCAGCTGTTCACAGCTGTTCTTTCCATCTCTCTTTTTCATTGTTTGCAGAAACAATGAAGTGATCGAGGACTAAGAGAGTTGAATGATGAAAAAAAATAGAGACCCAAGTGCCAAGCTCTTTAGTGCTCTTTGTAAAACCCAAATAAATGGAAAAATAAATCAAGCTTAGACATCAACAGGAAATTGAAAAGTTACATCAATGGAAGGACAGAAATGTATACGTCAATCATTTGGCTGGAGATGTTGTGGTATAAACAGATTTTTATCACTTATAGCTCTCTATTCAAATGATTCTGTCCTAGATTTCTTTTGTAAAAGTACACAGAGTACAATTTTGCCAACAAGCCTCTGGGAACAAATATGAAAACTAGAGCAAGACTGGCTTTGCTGTCCCTGATTTTGAGTTCTCAGTGTTTTTAAAGCAACAGTTTAATTTAGAAAAACAGAACAGGCTTAAACCTAATCCTCAGTCAAGACTGCAGGACTTGTTCGATGCCTCCAGCTAGGCACATGTGGACATCTTTGCTCAGTAGAGACGGATGCTTGAACTGTGCTATTCCCACTATGTTCAAACCTAAGCAGCCAAGTCACCTCTCTTGTCCCTCCTTCACAGCAGCTTGCATTTCTTATAGTTAGTTCACTTGCCTGTAAGGGAAGGTTAAATGTGACCGTCCCAGCACCCCAAGCCCCTGTTCCCATCACTGCGCCTCAGCTGACGCACAAGGCCAGCCTGGCGCCACCTCCATCCAGGGACGTGGTCCCTTGCCACCGGAACCCCACTGCTGCCAGCCGCCCTCGGGTGCAGATAACCGGCCCTTGAGGACAAAGCCTTTGCCTTCCTTTTGAGATGGAAGATATGGGGATACAAACAGTAATAAATAACTGATGTGTCAGTCTGAACTGAATCCTGTTCTCCTGCCTCACCCACTTCCACTCTGCTCTCCACCAGGCTTCTGGTTTTTGCTCTTTCTGCATCTTCCACACCCACCTTTTAATTTTGTATTCCCTTGGACAAAAGCAGGATTCCTGTCTGCAGCAAGGGACTTTTCCTGGGAGCTTTTCATCTCTGATGAAAAGGAAACCATGTCCCTATGCTGTTGGGAGGTTTGGGTCTCTAATCTCCTCCTTCCAGCCTTGCTCCTGACACTTGGGCTTGACTTCTTGTCTAGACCCATCAGTTATACTGCAATCAGTCCTGCCGTGTTTCTTGGGTTTCTTTCTTGGCACCAGGCTTGGTTTTCTGCTGCACATTTAGCCTCAATCATTTCTGCATTGTTCTCTCCCAGCTGCTGTCTTATCATTGCTGTCTTGTTCTCTCTTGGCTTCCTCTGCGGTTCCTATCTGTCTTCTGGCTCTTTGTGTACCACTGTAGGCTTAGCTTTAGTCAAGTTTTGATGTCATTCATCAGACATCTCGTTAGTGCTAATTCATAACATTCTGGTTTCTCTTTGTTCCTGTTAATGTATTTCAACCTCCCTGAGCGAAACTCAGCTGAACTCAAGTTAAATGTGTCCTTTCACTGAAAGTGGAACTCAAAGTGGTGGGAAGGTGACCATGAAAATGTCCACAAGCACAAGATGAAATGAGGATTTCTTTGCCCTGAGCTTTCCCCAGGGCCGTGGAGCTGAGCCCAGTTGCCTAAACCCCTGTGATGCTCCACAGACCCATTTGTGTGAACTCCTACTAAAATATAGCTCATGCTTTCAAGTAATTCACTACCCAGTAGCACTTACATTTGTATTGGGTCATTCAGGGAAGACAAATCAGACAAATACATGATATTCTGAGAACAGTTACAACATTTTGAGCCAACTGCCCCGCAACTTCTTTTGATTCATGTAGGAAAGGTGGCCAAAGAGGAAATTATGAGAGCTTAAGCTTTAACTCCTCCAGGCATTAAATCCACCATTTGTGTCAGAGGCAGGTCCTCCTCTGAAAAGGGAGGATGATACAACAATTTATGCTCTTGTCACACTGTATAGGGATATCTATTTTCAATTTAATATATCAAACCTCTCTTTTGTCTAATGTTTAGTTCTTGATCACAATTATACTCAGGTAATCACTAGTCCTTTGGGACAGAGATGCTGTAGTTAAATTGTTTAGCTATGTGCCATCTTTGTGAGTCTATGATGCATTCCAGCAGCTGCAGCCCACATGAACCAAATCAGTGCAGAGACATAACCAAACCAAAGGTAAACACTGTGTGATGTGAGACTGGTAAATGCCATCCTCCTCTCTGGTGTCACCACACTT